TGCTGAAGTCATTTAAGGCCTCTTACACTTTCATCTGTGTATACTTGTGGGCCAAGGTGGTTTTTTTTTTTCTTTCCTCTTTCATGGAATACAAGCAAAGAAGCAAAGAAATCAAGTGCGTAGGGAAGAAATCATTAGTCCAGAAGTTGGAAATTGCTCTGCATTTGAATTTGGCACAGCATGCCCTCAGTTTTTTTCATTTCCCTTCTCTTTTCATCCATTGCAAGGAAGTGGATGTAGGTACATTTTCTTGTTTAGGTTCTGCTAAAAGCATGTGTGCATGCTGCCCAAAGGGGCGGAGGGAGAAGTTTTTCCTTACTTCACTTCTGGGCTGTCTGTTCAGGGCTTTACACAGGAGGTGACTTGGAAAGGCTTATGAATTCCATTTACTCTGCACTCTGATCTGAAGATCACCGTACACTGAACATGCAATATTTGCTTTATAAAAAAGAGCCATAGCACAGCAGCTATTTAAACATCTTTCCCTTCTACAAGCTGGCAAACAGCCCATGTTCATAGGCATGAAAATATATTTATGTTGAGGCCATGACTAACAAGTGATCAAGGCAGCAGGCATTTAGAAGTGGAGTTTTTCAGAACAGTAGTAGTAGAGGATGTTTGCCATGCATAGCAGGTTTGACTAAATTCAAACCTCCCATTCTGGAAAACAGGAACTTTTTGGACTCAAGTAATTCTCTTTTGTGTTTCAGCCACATCTGTAGTGCGGATGTGTTCCTGGGAAGAATTACATACCTTTATCCAGGCTTGTGTCAAGTTCAGGTCTTCACACCAAAGGTGCAGTAAATTTTTGTTCTACAACTAATCTATTTAATGCTTCCACATAGACCATGCAAGTTCAGTAAAATAACTGTGCATTCCACAGCAGAATGAGGCTTGAGATTTGTTGTTTGCTGCTACTGATTTTCTCTAGTTAATTTGGAGTGCTGATTGTAGCATCCTGCATCAAGGCCATAAGCCTAGCGAGCCCCACTTACTTCTACCAGGAGCTGGCAGCAGGAATTGGAGGTATGTGGCCTGTTTCATTGTGAGCAAGGGTATACCTTGCAAAAATCAAAGTAAATATTCTTCCTTGTACTTGGCTGACTACTAAGAGCTCAGTGTCACTGGCAAGCTTGTAGCCTTGATTTTAAAATCTGAAGCAATATGGCAAAAATGGAAACATGCCCTGAGTCATCCCTGCCTCATTTTAGGATGTCAAGGAGCTATATGGAAGAAATGCTGTGTGATTGCGTAATTTTTTAAAACATGCGCATACACAGAAGGTTTGCAAGTATTTGCACAGGCAACCTTTATATTAACTTTTCTAACTAAAGTCTTGACTTGCCAGTCATTAAAATATTCCTGTAGTGTATTTATAATACACTAAAGGAAAATTATAAATAAATAAGGTGTGTTTATTACCCAGGTGTGTGTACACACTACTAGATTAGTAGGGAGCATAGACTTATAAAAGGGGGAAGAGAGAGAAAATGTAGAGACAGAGTGGTCTCAGCCTAGAGCAGGGGGGCTGGACACAATGATCTCACAAGGTCCCTTCCAGCCCTAAACTTCTGTTGATCTGTGAATCATCTTGTTCTTGCCCCCCTACTTCAGTAGAGGATGGTACAGTATTGACCTAGTCTCACTGCAGTCACAGATTATTATAGGATCGGTTTCGCTGCATGGCTGCCCAGCTAAGAGGCAGCGAAACATGCACTGTACAAAGCTAGCCACAGAATCAAGGCAAGCAGCATAACTTTTCACTCTAACAATAAAACATTTACAGGGTTGCTGATGGAGAGCGATAAGAATGTCAGTGGCTGTTTACGCCGGGGAAGGATCAGGTACAGCCAGTGAGAGGACAGTATTTATTGAGGGTTTGAGGGTTGTTTTTTTTAACCTTTTCAGAGCAGTTTAGTAGTTCAAATTTATTGGGGAACTTTTTTTGCTGAGCTAAGATCAAAACTAGACAATGGGAGGAGATTTGAGAGAACAAGACAAACAAAGCTTCAGAAAAAGTGTTTGCTTATCCTATCAGTGAAGCTTTCTCTTGGAGCTGTATAGAATCCAGCAGTGTTTTACTTGCTGACTTTTCTCCTCTTCGTGATGCTATGTCCCAGGCTGTAGGGCCTTGATAAAAGATCAGAGGTGGACAGAATAGCAGGATGCAATAGGAACCAATTCTGCTCAATATCCACGTCTTCTCCTGGGGAACAGATGGGTGCTGGGGCTGAGAACACTCCTACAACTGCATCTTTTCTAGCTGCCTGTGCCTGTATGTTTTCCTTGCATGCATGCTACAGCCAGATGGACTGTTATACTTGTTTCCTTTCATTTGCCAGCTGTGGGGAAGAGGGTGACTGAGAGGAACTGGGTGAATCATTGTCAAAAAAATTATTCAGAAAGCACAATTGTTGCATTTACAGCTACCAAGAGGAAATGAGAAGCTGCCACTGGAGGGATGTTGTTTTAAAAATCAATAGTTACGAGATCATGAAGCAAAAAGAAAAAAAGAATCGCCACGAGGGCCAGGACCCCTCAAACAGTTGGCTAGAGCAATGGAGATTGTTAAGAACAAACAGAAGCAGCCAGAGCCATTGCCAAGATGGTTATGGCCATCTAGATGAAAAATGAGCCTGACAGCAGCCAGACATCCAGACGGCCAAAACAGCAGCACCTCAAGTAACACATGCATCTGTCTGATAGGACTCTGAGGCATGGACTAGTGGAGTTGAATACAGCTAGTTCCCCCTACTAGATGCCCTCACCAAGGGCATTTGCCACCACAAAGAGTGTAGAGATGGTTCCCTCTGCAGCTAACAGGGCAGGCTGGTGGGGAGTGCGGGGAATAGGACACCATAACCCCTAAGTTCTGGAGAGGATGGTGCTTCCCCCAGCAACACAAAGCCTTGTGCTCCCACTTAGTGAGACTTGTGTGTCAGGCACATTGAAGCACTAGGTGCAGATATATTGTATTGTGCAATTAAAACAGATTAGATTCAAATATTGCAGATTGTGTTCTCCATGCAAACACGCTGAACAGTTGGTATTTAGTGCGTGGCATGCAGTCATTTTGGCTAAGTACGTGGTAGCAATAAGGAGTCACTAACTTCTCAGGAAAATTCTCCCAAAAAGTGTTAGTTCCTTGTGAAGCTAGCTGTCCTGACAGTGTTACTTGTCACTGTAGAATATTATTGCAGCAATGACTTGTAATAATATATGAAAGGATGTGACATTTATGTGAGTAAGAAGAGAGAGATCTGCTCATGAATTATAACAAGATTAAGAGCTAATGCGCTTTGTGATCAGGGCATAAGTAATTGTCCAGCTGGGCTCAGGAAGAATTCATCATCCCAAGGGTAGAGCTTTGCACAAGTTAAAGCATTTTGGGGGTTGGGAGGGTATGCCTTCCTCTACAGCATCTGGCATTGGTCACTGTCAGAGACAGGATATGGGAGTAGACGGAGCACTAGTCTGTTCTCATATGTCAATCTCTGTGGCTCTAGCACTAATGGAAACTGCAGCTTCCTATCAAAACCCTTCCCCTCAAGACAGCATTAGAAGTGAAAGGTAGAGTGACTGAATTTCATGACTTTGAAGTCACCCCATGAGATGAGATTATCCAGGGCTCTCACAAGAAAAAAAGCTGTGTTCCAGGTAGAGGTCAACAGAGACTGAAAGTTAAAGTAGTTTTAAATGAGGTTTCTGGCCTAATATGTAGGTCAGGAGAAGACGCCCTTTCTTTTAGGGTTGCAATTTGTCATTTGAGTTCACACTGGGATTCAAGGCAGCTCAACCAAGGAAATTCAGAGTAAGGACTATCACCCCCTCCCCCTCCTCGACTCTGTTTAACACTTAAATCAGGCCAGTTTGAGTCTAAAAGACAAATCAGTAAGTGAATAGTTAGAATATTTATGCTGATATTTTTTCACTTCTATAACAGCCTCAATACTGAGGGCTTTTTGTCCTGAAGCTTTTCATTAAGGTAGGTTTATTTAGTACCCCTGGCAGATGTGATGCTAACCTGCAATCAGTCTGTTAATCGCATCTTAAATAGTAACCCAGCCACACATTCAGGGAATGAATGGTGCTATAAAAAGGGAAACCAGCCATGAAATATTAGGCAAAATTTGTGTAATATTTTTGTGGCTGGTTTCCATTGCATCTTAAAATTGAACATGTGGCAGGGTTAAGACTACAGGGTCTTTAACTGGCCACAGTGTGGTCCCCGCCAGCTGGATCTGGGATCCTACTGGAGCTCAAACTGGCCCCAGTGTAGTCACTGCTAAAGTCATCCAGCACTGGGGACTGCATGGGAGCCTGTTCAAGCCCCAGTGTGTTCCTGGAGCCGGGTGACAATCAGCTGATTGCCAAGCACTTGGCTTTCAACTTGCTGGTGCAGAAAGAACCTGGGATCATGATCCTGGGCTCCTCCCTGAACTGGTAAATAGGGTGTGATTTTTGGGATCTGATCCTCAAATTCCCAAAGTCCTGTATCCTGCCATGTACATATAGCATGGCAGGAGACACAGTTGTTGGGATCAGGGCTCAGATACCATTGCACCTTTAAATGAACACTTGTCACCAGCTTGAGAAACTGAATCTAAAAGGTCAGTGTAGAAATGTATTATCTTTTTTAAACTATGCCACCTATTACCTGTAACATGACAGTCTTCTTCCTAAAACATACGCTCCTTTTCCAAACAAGATGTTTGATATTTTCTGTCTGACTTGCTTAAATGCTGCTCCCACTAGTGGTCATTAAAATGACAATATTTGCCCATATATACAACATTTTTTTTTCTGTATATTCATGCCATATGTATGTTCCATATATCGTAATCTACGACACCACTCTCCTATTAGTTTTACTTGTTCTCAGCAGCTCCCCCTGACAGATGGCAAAAGCTGGTTGTTTTAATAACTACCATTGTAGCAATCAAAACTCTCACGTAAGTCCTTGTGCAACATGCCATCCCTGCAAAATATAACATATGTCAGCTATATTATTAACAGAAAGGTGGTCAGGCCCAGTTTTTGCTTTGTCCTCTGTACCTTTAGGCAAACCACAAACCACCTATTCAAAATGGAACTGATATGCACTAGAGAGTGAATCACAACATAGCAAGAAATGCTTTTCAGTTGAAATCATTCCTATTGAGCTGAAGTATTGCACTGTTTATATCTCATCAGCTCCAGAAAGCAAGCACAAATGAAAGGACTGATTTTTAGCATGTTACAAGGAAGCTGGCTTAGCTAATATAGAGCATCTGGCCAAATCGACAAAGAGCAATTTTACAACCGATCTGATATCTATACCAACTTTACAGCTTCCTATAAAACTGATTTCATTTCTTCCCTTCCCTGCTAAAGAGTTAGCCTTCCTGATTTATTTGTTTCCTGAATGTAGTTTAGATATCTGATATAAATGAAACCCTGTGTTGGTTTATTCTTTTAATTTGACTGCTTCTAAAGTAACGCCCATCTAAATTGATGTTCATCTAAACAACCTTCTAAATTTGATGTTCATGTTCGACTCTCATTGGCATACCAAATCCATCTAAAGGAGTACAGCAGTAAACATGTGATATCAAGACCCCTTTTTGTATGAAAACATTTACTGAAGTCCCTTCACCCACCTCTGATATGATATGCAGCCACCTTCCTGGGAACAACTGACTTCATTTGACAACGTGAAGAAGCACTAAATAAGTGAGTATTTAGGACAAGAAGTGAAACTGTGAGGGGAATTTCAGCTGGTAGATTGTATAATTATATGAGCTGGAATTTGGCCAGGATGTTGGGGATAACATTTCTGTTCTTATACTAAATTATACAGCAACTTTAATAACTGCAAGTATTCAAAACACTGGTGTTTTAAATGTGATTTAAAAGAAGGTTCCTACAACAAGAGTTATTTTAATAGCATGCTTTGGGTTTAGTGTACTCAGAGGGAAGAGTGTTACCTTGTGAATTATCAATGCAGGACTATGAGCATCAGGCAAGTCGAGCCCTGCTTAATTTATATGCTCTGATGAAATAACAGTCTGAGATGGTACAAAAGGATGGGTGGGAATGACTGACTTATAGCATTGAGCCTAGCATGTACACATCACAAATAGGTCTATGTCGATGTCTAAACTTAAAATGCACTCAGCTAGATCTATTTGCTATATTTGCTGTTCACCGTTGCAGCTGTGTTTTTATACAGTTCTAATAGGTCACACACAGTTTCTTTCTGAAGGCTGACTAAATATATGTTCTGATCCAGGTCTCTCACTGAGAAAACTCTTGTTTAAGGTTAAAACTTGCTTTCTGTGAATATTCTTTAATAATCCTTTAGATGCAAATGCTGATGCACCTTTTTATGTTGAATAACATGTAAGTTCACAAAATATCTCATTGACTTCAAAAAGATAATCAAGAAAATTAGCAGATTATCTGACTCCTGAGTAGCGGGACAAGGGTCAGGTATTTCAGAAATCATCTAGAACATTTCACTCACTGTGGAAGTGTTTCTTGGAAACTGTTTCCTGACCAAAAAGCCTCCATTTTTCCATTGGTGTGCATGTGCTGAATCAACATAATGCTGCTCTGATGCTGTAAAATTGATACTGCACCTCAAAAACATACAAAGACTGAAAGTTTTGCTATGCTGTATGGGGTATGTTCTCTGTTAAGTCATCACATAGAGTTAAAATATCTGAAAAAGAGTAGCAGAATCTTTCCATGCAACTATCTCAACAGGTTAGACATTGACTTTATACGCACATGTAGTTAAAATATGTATGTGCGTGCGCACACACAAACACGCTAAGGGCCACATTGTTAGCCAGGTTCATTTCAGTCACTAATTTTATGTACTCAAGTTAGCATCCACAGTGGACTGTTTAGAAAAACAAAAACTATTTGTACATGCAAATTTACCAGTTTCCTTAAAAAAAACAAAAAAAACCCCCAAAACCCCAAACAGGTAAAAAAAAAAAAAAAAAAAAAAAAAAAAAAAATAGATGTGCATGTAAAATTTGAGACCAGGAGGCTGGAAACTTGACCCTGTATCTAAAATTGTATATGTACACAATTAGCAATTTAAATAGACCTAAACAGGGAATTTTTATGACCAACAAACTGTTCAGCAAAAAACATGTTCCACTCTTTTACTAGGCAGAAACAACCTACTAGAGTTTGGTCTTCTGCATTATAGCCCTGATTTAAATGCCACTGAAGCTAATGCAAAGCTTCATGTTGAGACACTGGATCAAGAGCTTCAGGAGCCCCATGTCTATGGGCAGGCACACCTGTGTGTACGTCTGCATGCACACTTTTTTCCTTTGAATATAATCCTAAATTTAGTTCAGCAAGTTACCTGTCTAGTAGCAGCAAATTACATTATTTAGAAATGCTGATACATATATCTTAAAGGATAATAAATAACCTTACCAAAAATATGGAACTGTGTACATGGACAGATCTGGGGCTTTGAAAAGGGGGGTGCAGATAGTGTGAGACATCACCACATAACACAACATATATTTTTCTCCAGTTAAAGAAAAACTAGAAGCTTTACTAATAAGCTAAGGGCCTTGTGCTACATTTTTCAGATCAAAGTAAAAACAAATATAACTTTATTGGAATGTGTGCTAATTGACTAGATTTTATATTAAATTAACCCCCCACCCCAAACTAGGCCAACAAAAAGTCAGAAATATTGTTTCATTAGTTCTGTGGTCATTATATTTAAATGTGCATCTCTTATTCAGATTCATAAAACAAAATCCGGTTTTCTTGAGTGTTTTGACGGTGCCTCCAATACTTCAGTGTCACTCGTTTCTGCACCCGAGTTAATATTACCACACCTAAATTAAGGATTTTAGCTCTAGCAGGGTCCTAGCCGCTCTAGTCTGCCAAACTGTAAAATAGGAGAGAGGCAAAACCACGAATGGCTAAACAGACAGCAAAAATGCAGAAGAAAGAATAGTTTGAAGAGTGTAACATCAAGACCATTAAAAAAGAGAAAGGGTTGTTAACACCTGTGAAGTGAAGAGGGATTAGCAGGAATCAGGTGGATTATAATGAGCCATTAAGTCAACTCAATGACCTCAGAGCTACCTGAATTAAAATGCCGCTGGGCCTCCTGGGCAGTTGATTTAAAGTTTTTTGGGTGGAGCAGGATTCAAAGGGATGGGGATGGGGGTTGCAAATGTACCACTGCACTCCCCTCCTGGATCTGCCCCTGCATGTGTATAGGTACAATGAACAATTTAAACAAAAAACCAAAAACCGTGCCCCCTCCCTCAAAAAAAAAACAAAAAAAAGTAACAGTTTTAACTGAAGGTAGAGGTGAATGAAATTATTAGAGCTGCTTGTTTATTTCAGATTTGGATAAACAGTTTCTAACTATCCTTAGTCCTTTTATCACAAAACTGCAAGCTCAGCTCTACAAGGGTTTTTGTTTGTTTTTTCCCCTTTAAAAAGAAAATGAAATAGTATTTTTAAGGACAGAACTGTTGGATAGCAAAGCAAACGTTTGTTATAACTCTATGGCAAGATTTCAAGTGATATCCATTTTAAGGAAGCATATTCATTCCACAAATTTTGAGAGAACAACTTACATGTAACACAAAAATGTCCTTAGGTGACACCAAAATGAAGAAGGCAAAGGCTAGGTGTGATTCTAGTTCTTGCAGGTGTGCTCTCATAAGGCTGGGAAAGTCTTTATTCTGGGGGATGGGTTTCCATGAAAATGTTGGCAATCCTAAATGGAAACAAAAAAATATATTAAAAGGAGATGTTAAAAAATGTGTGATCCAAATATGACTGAAGCTTGTATTTTTTCAAACAGAAAGCAGAAATGTTGTTGTATGTGGCTTTTGTAAATCCATCCTTGTGCTGTTCAAAAAGAAGAGCATAAGCACCTTTTTAGAAACTTGTTGTGGATTTGGCATCATGAAAAACACTTTAGGAAAAGTCTCTTAAGTGTTGGCAAACATGGATTAACTCCTTTCATGTAGCTGAGTTTTCTGAAATAGGCAAATAGTTTGCTATGACATACATTTCCACGCCATCAAAATAATTTTCATGAGGGTGACATCTCTGGCCACCAAAACTGGCTGGTAAAAAACTTAAGTAGGTTTTATTTATCTTGAACCCTTTGATTAATTAAATGTACCACCCCTCCCGCCCCCTTTCAAAAGAGACCTGCAGCATTGTAGAGACTTTTTTTCTGTTTTTGGTAATGTACTGCAATGAAATTGTAGTTCTATGAGAGATTCAGCTCTCCCAGCTCTCATTTACATAAGAAGGACTTTAATGGGTGCTCCATGTCTTACAGAGGGAAATGGTCCCTGAACTATGAAGCCATTTTGAACGAGGTAAGCCAGTAAAAAGAGCCTGTAAAGGGGTATAGGTTGTAGCCATGTTGGTCTAATGACATAGGCAGACAAGTTTCTTTGGGTAAATCTGATATCTTTTATTAGACCAACTCAAATAGTTGGAAAAATTCTTCTTTGCAAGCTTCTGGGTCTAAACACCCTTCGTCAGGCTAGGGAAGCATCTGCAGTTGGCGTGTGCTCTTCCTGGATGCAATCCATAACGCTTGGATTATATACCATGAGTAGAGGTACACAGCCAGGTCTGTATCTTGTTCTTAGGCAGCATCTTCAGATCAGGAAGCTGCCACAATGTCCATGTGGATCATGACAGCTGAGAGAAGAATTAGGGCAGTCTTCAGGGTTTAACATGCAGTCGAGGCTGAAGTAGGCCTTCCAAGTCTTAGGAAGTACAAGCCACCTTCCTGTTCTTTCTTGCAGCAGCTCACAAGAAGCCACCCACATAGTTATGTGATTTAAGCAGGCGGGAGGGGGTTGTCTTGAATGTCCCTTTCCTCCAGAGTTCATTAGTTGGAATGGAAAAAACCTCAGGCCATCAGTGCCACTAGTATGGCAATGTCAGGTTGCTGACAGCAATGTTATTTATATAGTACAACTGAAAAAGGACACTTGAAAGTGCCTCAGTTATAGGGTCCCATTTAAAAAAAGAAATCTAGCATCTGTGAAAGCTCTCCAAAATTGTCTTCCTCGGTAGAAATCGGATGTATATTTTGTTGAACCGGTCTCTTAATTAGGTAGGATAAAAATGGCTCTCTCCCCCAGTGTGCTTCCTGTTAGACAATAGTGTCACACCTGCTTTTTCTGCCAAGCCTGCAAACAGATGATGTATTTTTTTCCCCACAAAGATGCCCTAATAAACAACAACGGATCCGCTTTTTAAATTTTATTTAAGCTTTTCTGCTGCCCAAATTTCTGCCCGTTTGCTTGGGCTGCACTGTTCATTAAAATGAGACTCTCCAAATGACCCCCAATCATTTGCCCTTCCTGTCCATTCTTGGTTATGCCAAAAACTGTTAGTTCACAACAGGAAACCAATAGCTTGTGCTATCAGGAGACATTTCCTTCACAGCACAAAACGTCTGAGTAATAATTTCAAGCAAGGCTTCACCCATTTCCTGTAAAAGGAGGAAAGTTTGCCTATCCCAGTCCCTGAGAGCTCTTTGTTTCCATCCTTTCTGTGATGTAATGCCTTCTCTATAGGGAAGATGGATCATTTTCCCTTAACAGCATTAAATTCAATATCCTGTGTAAAAATTTTGATGCTACTTTTTCAACTGTTAAGTGTGTACTGTTTACAAAGGAAAAAAGGAGCAGTTGCAGTTTACACTTGTGGCATCCCCTTTTTAAAATAAATGAAAGTTTTAGAGTCAGGGAGGGGGGGAGCTACAATGAAAAGATGAAGGTTAATGATGCAGACATGTTTCATGCAATGTATTGCCTGCAATGGAGAATGTTAGCATTGCAGCTGTTAACTTCTGCACACTCTTCCAGTAAGGGCTCAGCTAGTATCAGAGCACATGGTAAACACCAGAGAAAGCTAAGGATTGAAGCGATCATTTCTGGTTAGGTATGTTATTGAAACACTTTACACTGGCCATGTCTACACGAGACGCTGACTGTGCAGTAGCTCATTAATCCTGCTACACGATGCGACTGCGCAGTAAGCATGACCTGATGTTACTGCCCAGTAGTAATGAGCTACTGCACAGTCAACATCACCTAAAAGCCATTCAGTGACACTACTGTGCAGTAACTCTGCCTATTTAGTACTTTTTATACCGGTACTAAATGACTGCACAGTAACAACTGTGCAGTAAGCGTCCCATGTAGACGTGGCCACTGTGAGCTAAAATGCTGCATTACACAGGGTTCAACAAGGTACCTAAACACCCGCTTTGCTCCATCCCTATTCAGCAAAGCACAAGCATGTACTGAAGTCCCACTGATTTTCTTACATTTTTAGCTGAATCAAGGCTGTACTAGACTGTTAAGATTACACAGTTAACATATCAGATAAATTATCAGGAAATGCAAATGTTAATTTTTTTAGTGGTAACACACGTGCATGTTGTATTGCTCATACATTTAGACTACATACATTTAGACTACAACATATTTAGCTATAGGGATAGGCAAACTTTCCTCCTTTTAGTAAACAAAGTAGGCATAGAAAATATTGTGGCCATGCAGCTGGGCTAACTTACCCTTCCCACTGGATCCCCCTGATAATCCCTTTCTTGACTTTGTTAATTTTTATTAAACTATGTGCAACTGTACGAATTCAGAATTTTATCATTTAATTTTCAAAGAAATAAAGGCTTGTAAGATTTTTGTTTTACTCATTACAGGCAAAAAAAGTCCCTAAACCACTTATGTGAAAAAAGCACTTTAAAACATCTAAACTTTTAAGCCAGTTCAAATCCTGAAGGATGACTGGGGACATACAAAGATAAAAGTGCAGAGACAGATGCTGCTACAGGTATGAGCTCTCAAACTTAACACAGTTGAGTATTATACATCCTTGGTGTACACATTTTAAGTGTTCATAACGTCTATTTTTTATTGCACTTAATTGTTCAATATCCATGATCACATGTGTGTCAAGATTTTAACTATTGCTTTTAGTTATGTGTGGAAAAGACCATAGCAATCCTGGCTACAGGGAGGGTGGAAAGTCTTTTCTCAACTTAAACAACTACAAGTATTTATTTTGCCCACATTTTCCATGAAAAAACACCACTCTGTTTCATCACTGAATGGAGACCAGATAAAGAGGAGAATGTCAAAAAGTTTAAGACAGTGGCCCTTATCACAGTTACTGTAGTCCAGTCTTAACCACAGCATTCACTTGCACGTGAAGTTATCATAAATCTTCAGTTCTTCTGAAGTCAATATATCTTTGACGTGCTTGCATCCTCTGCCTTTGTGTGTCTTTTGCACCAAGATAACACACAACGTCTCTTGTTATATGTCCACTCATTCCAGCCAAGAGGCCCATCACACTCAGTTTTGTCTTACGTTGTTACCTTATCCTTCCTTTTTATTCAACAGGCTTCATGTGTGGGGCTCTCCCTCTGTTTACTTCATTACCTGGAAGACCGCGTGTCACAGCACAAAGTGGTCATATCTGTGCCACCTAGAGAAATTGTTGGACCACAACTCTCTTCCAAACTTGTGTTTAAGAACAGGTGTGTTTGGACCTAGTTTTGGCTTTAAAAGTGTGAATGTGATTTTCCAGATGATGGTAGATAGGACCTTAATGCTTTACCTTCTGCAATCCATGTCTAAACCTACATTTGCCAGTTAGCAAAACACCACCCTTTGGAGCTGGTATCAGACTTGAGAGAGTTTAGACACACAAATCTCTCCTTATAGCTGCATTCACTCCTCAGCCTCTAAGTCAGGTGCTACACAGACCTGTCAGTCTCTGAAGATTTTTTTTAAGGCCCTATAAATGAAATTGTATATTTTTAGTGGGGGTGAGGACAGCATTTACCAAGTATTTGATCACTGATGATTAAACAATTTCTGGAGAAAATTCCTAGAAACCATTCACTAATTCTTCCAATTTTCAATATGAAACTGAAGTGCTGAATGGGCACAGCTGGGCTAAGTGGCAAGGAAGATGACAATTGTCTACAAAAAGTGTTTGAAGGATGCAAATATCAAGGAGTCTGAATCTGAATATTTAGTGTATTTTAAAGATCTGTAGATGCAATGAGATTAAATTAAGTGAAAATTCAGACTCATCAGCAATGAAAAAGCCTCTTGTCATTGTTCTCTGTTACAGTCAAGATACCCTTCCATGGGGATAGAGGAACCCAGATCACTCAGAAGAATTTATCCCTCCCATTAAATTTATAGGTAAAAATCATACGTAAATCTATCTTACTAACGGGTAGGCTGACATTGGAAAGATTAAGAGGCTTGCCCATGATCACATAATTAACCAATGGCAAAGATGGGACTGACAGATCAGAGTTTTTTAAGTCCATATAGGACGCATCTACATGTGCATTAAATGCACTTTTGCTACTGCACATTAAGTTTATTACCTCTAATATGAGGTACTAACTAAATGCATAGTAGCCAGTGCTACTGTGCAGTAGCAAAGGTGCATGGTCTCTCCGTGATGCTTAATGCGGAGTAGGCTAATTCAATTGTGCATTAGCACACTAGCACAGCTTTTGTTGTGATGCTCTAATGCGCAGTAGCCGCCAGCAGATGCCGGTGGCGGTGTTGGCCGGGGGAGGGTGGCAAGCGGGGACTGCCCGCAGATGCCAGCAGCAGTGTCAGCGGCGGCGAGCAGGGACTGCCAGCAGATGCTGGCAGGAGGAGGAGTGGTGAACACCCGCAGAAGCCAGTGTTGGCCAATCTTGGGGGTGGGGGCATGTGCCCCCAGTGCCCGCCCACAGGTTGTCTTTGACTGTGCAGCAAGCATCTTGTGTAGATGTGCCCTTTGGCTACAATAATGCAACCTTATTCTACAGCTGCTTTTAGTATATATGTCTGTTTGCAAGTTGCTCCATACTCCTGGTTGTTATACAGGACCAATTTAATGAAGGAGGACCAGAGTTCTTACTAAAGCAACAAGGATTTTTTCATGGATGCATTTGTGGGGTGAGGGTGTTGATGTAAGGTACAACCCAACTAGACTGTGAAATGTTGGAAGCAAGGAATGGCCAAGTGGCCTCATTAAACCTGCAGAGACAGGAAAACAGCTAATAATTTACACATTTTTTTAAAACAATGCACTATTCAGGCAAGTCAAACTATAATTTTATCAGAGCAGTGATGTGGACAGTGTACCACACAGAATTCTTGGCTTCAAGTCACGTTAAGCAGCAGAACAGTCTAGGACACTGGATGCCTTAACTGCCTATGTTTCTTAACCAAGTTAAATCCTTCTAACACTTCTTAGGCCAACATTTCTTCTCTGTACTGCTCAGTCACTTATTGTGTTTGACATTTTATTTCCACTTTTGCAATGTCATCTTGTTTAGCTCATTCTCCCAGTGTACACTGGCCAATCTACAAAAATGTAATTGTGATGTTTTACACTAGATTAATATCATATTTTGACTACATGCACTCTTAACCAGCAGACTGTAATGAAAACAGCTGTTCATTATTAATATGTTAAATAAAGTAAGATTCCCCAATGATATTTCGTATGCTAAGAAATGATGTAATGAAACTCTGGGCCATGTGAAAATTCCATCGTTACATCACTCAGATTTCCCTTGATGAGTAAAAGGCCAATTCACTTACCTGAAAAGTTTACTTAAATGCATCATCTTTAAGACTCTGGACCTGTAACTGGCTGCCTTAAACAACTTTCCTGCATGGTTTATATCTCTGTCTTGTGTGCTGCTGTAGTGTGTTTTCACTCTTTCTGCACTATAGGAATGTTTCTATCTCATGCAAAATAAGAAATGAAGGCTTTGCTTCATCCTCTAATACAGGTCTAAGAGAAAATAGGGCAGGAGAGGCCACTATTTACAAAGAGCCAACTGTAGAGTAGTCTGGAAATGATGGTTAGGTATGGAGGGATAAAAAGTGAGAGAGATGGGGAGGGAAAAGCATAAAAGAGAAAAGCAAGGGTCAGGAGAGCTAAGAAAAATGGAGCGAGAGAGAGACACAATAGGTACTAATGGACTGCAGACAGAAACATCAGCCTTACTCACACTGAATGTTGCACATAGCTGACCTAGTAATAGAGTTTCATCCACTTCCACTGGGTGGAGGGAGGTGGGTACTAAGGTGCAAGGTTGACAGCCCAGAGGTTGTGAGTTTGAGACCACAGCAGAAGCGCTCATGTCATGACCCTGTCAATGAATCTGCAAATTCTGCTAAATACCTTGTCAGAAGGACAGGAAAAAGAAAGGACCAGGGATGATTTTAGATCTTGGAACCCAGTTTTCAAAATGTAGTATTTTTAGGGTGTTCAGTGCCATACCCTCAAAATACCTTGTTTAGGGATCTACACAGTGGCATGACTAGGTTGGAGCAAGTGGAACACCCATCCCAGGTGCCAACTTAGTGATGGCACCAAAAGCACTAACTTGGGAGCCTTTGCTGCAGCAGGAACAGCCCTGAGGTGCCCAGCCACGGAAGTCAGGCAGGCCTGTACCGTGTAGTGCGTGGGGCTCCACCAGCCCTTTGCACCCAAGGGACAAGCTAGCCAAGTGCTGGGTGCACCAGCCCTGCAGTGTAAGTTGCCCAGGGGATGTCCTTGGTGCCATGTTTGCTGCTCCTCCTGTGGCAAAAATGCGAGGAAGGGACAGCATGTAGCTTAATCCCTTCCCACTTACGGTACGGGACATGGGGCGCATCTACACGAGACGCTTAATGAACAGTAACGTAATAACGCTGCACAGTAGCGTGCTGGGCAGAAACCATGCTAACACACTACTTTGCAGTATTATTAGGCTACTGCACAGTAAGCATCACAAAAAACCTGTGTGCCCGTGTATTTAGTTAGTACTTCATTAAGCAAGTATCAAACTAAATGCACAGTAACTACTGCGCATTAATGAATGTGTAGATGTGCCCAGGGCTGCCTGGCTTCTATAGCTAGGTAGTAAAGGGCTGTACCTGCTGTTGCCAAGGGGGTCAGGGGCATCCTGGTGCCCCGTGCTAAGCTTGTTGTACATTATGGAGCACAGGGCTGCCCACTTGCAGAGGAGATGAGACTCCTCCCCCAGCTCCCCAGCGGTTAAGCACTTTTGCCAGGGTGCTGCAGGACCTTGCTGCGCCTCTGGGCCTACATACTCATTGGAAGACTTTAACTACAGAGCTGTGGGCATGACCATACAAGACGCTACATCACCATAACAATGAGCTATGGGGATGTAGCTTGTCACTACGGTAACATAGCACTGGTGGGCAAGAACCGTGATGCCAATGCTACTGTGCAGTAGTTCATTACTGTACACTGGCAGGGTCAGAAACAATCAGTGAACTGCCAGGACTGAGCAGTAATGGCGATTACTATGTACTCATTTAGTATTTGCTAAAGCAAGTGCTAAATGACTACCCAGTAACAACTGTGCACTCGGGGGCACGTATAAATGCACCCTGTGTTCTCTAACTTAAGCCATTAGACATGGAAGCTGGACTCTGTGGACCTGATCCCCAGAAACACTGAACATGCACATCTCCTATCATCTTGGTTAGTGATATGACATACCCACAAAACTGATGGAGAAAACTGATGGAGAGCACTAAAAAGTATTTATCCAATGTACACGTAGATAGTTAAGGATAGATTCACTTATACACATGTATTGCAGCACGGGATGCAAACATTACAATAAAATGGATTAATTTATACTTATAAACTGACATACCTATAAACTGAGGAAGTGGCTAGCATAGTGTTGCACTGCTATTATACAAATAAATTCCGTACATGTTTTGCCTGATTAGCATTACAGACTGGGGGCTGAATCTCTCTCATCCCTTACAACAGCTTTATACTACACTGATAACAGAAAGCTGTCCTATACTACAGAACCAGTGCAGGGGGATCTTTGGGTGGTAAAGCAACTAGGGAATGGGTCTGGGGTGTCCCTAGGTCTCAGCAAACCATTGCTTGGGCTAAGAGACTGTTGGTTGCTTTAATTTGCCTGAATTACCTAGCCAAGGTATGCATAGTGCTCTGTGGCTGGCATGGTCATTGGGAATTTTTTGTTTTTAACTTTTTATGCTGCTTTGTACAGTTGCTAGACTCCAAAAAAAAAAATCAATGGGATACGAGAGCAGGGTGGGGAGAATGCCACATGGCCTTTCCCAAATATGATTTGTACATGTTTCCATTTCTTGACCATGATCTGAGCTCAAACTCAGGGTGACCTTGAGATTTACTAGCTAAAAGAAACAGTCCTGGTACAGCTGGAACAGGTGGGTGGCCAGATAACATGGAAAGAGGGAAACATCAGCTGTCTTTGGAAAACAGGAGTGAAACATCAGCTGTCTTTGAAAAACAGAAAAGGAAAAGAAAAAGCTCTATCTTGCTGAACTGCATGTCCTGCTCCACTGAAAGCACCTCATTATATAGTTTTGGAAAGGTCAGTACAGTATCTTCAACACAAACTTATCAGAAAGTTCAAAGGTGGAATGCAAAACCACACAGTGTCCAGATGTTTCTTTACATGGTCCAAGTCGGGGAGATTGATAAGTAATTCACTTTTTCTAATGAAAGAGTATTTATCAGAGATCATTTTAGTTGTGCCACAGACCCTAACCTAGGGAATAGTCTGGGTCACCCACCAGGCTACTGAAACTCAGCCTGCGGTTTTCTGGAGGGACATTTGTTTTGAGTGACCTCCTCAATCTGCGCAGCCTCAGCAAGGGAGAGCAGGTAGCTGCCCAATGTATACCAAATAGTGAAGTAGAGCTCTTATGGTGCTTCTCCTTCCCCTACTCACCAGGAGGCAGACATGGGAAAAGGTAGAGGGGAGACACGGTGTCAGAAGGAGCTGCAAAAGTTTACAGCGCATATCAAAACTGCCTTACACCCAGCCAAACCAGGGACATACCCTGGGACTGCAACAGTGAGTGTCCCATGTCATGTGCTTTTGTCATCTGTTTGAACACAAAGCTTCCCAGGAGGGGGTGTTTTACATGCAGCCAGGTTTTCTGGTTGAAATGTTTCTCTCTCACATAAAGGACCAAGAACATAATCATCATCATCAACAACATTAGAAACCATATGCTAACATGCGGTATCCGTACAGTGTAACTGAGCTACAAACTACTAGTAAAAGAGACTCACTAATTCTTAAATGGAGAAGATGAAAAATAATTTAATTCTTAAATGGAGAAGATGAAAAATAATTTACACATTAATGCAATGAGGGTTCAGACATGTTCCCACTCCTCTTTTGACTTCCAAGAATTAGGGCCAAATGCTGGGCCCTGAGGCCAAGTCTGAGTAAATGGGCTTTGAGCAGTAGAAAGCTGCCTGCTTCTCTCCATTTTTGGCCACAAAGCATGCCTGGAAGTCTGTCCAGCACTAAACAGTCACACACCCACTAGTCAAGCCCCAGTTTCACTAGAAACTTGCCCTCCTTGCCGCTGCAGCGGGAGGTTTCCAGCCTCAGAGGGTCTGAGGAGTCCCACTGTACAATTCTCTCACATGGCTCCACACATCAGAATGAAAGTTTGACCACTTCTCACCTCTTACCAGCTCAGGGGAATAGAAATGGTCTGCATGATGAAGGGTTTCCCTTGACTAAGTATGGCAAGAACTGACCACTCATTTGTAAATCGATATGACTGGCTCTTACAACTTGGTTCTTGAAACCTGAATCTCAACACCTTCAGACTTTACAGAAGTATTTAGAATCCAGATCTGAGTTGTTTTCAGTTGAGGATTCTTTCTGTACAAGCCTTTGGGCTGGAATGCCCCATGTGCTCATGCTAAACCTGGTCAAACTTCAGGACACTTCAAGATCCAAAACCAAACTCAAATCTGGACAACTTTTTTTGAGTAATCTGGGCCAGGTTCTCAGCCATCCTGCGGAGTAGGGCAATTAGCAGAAGGGCTTGCCCATAAGCAGTGTTTTTTCTCAAATTACATAGATAATTGTAACCGGCCACATCTGTACTTATTTGGAAACTTCCAAAGTAGCTCTGTACCCACAGCTTCAACCCAAATAAGACACATGGAGCATTTCTTAAATTGCTTATTAAACAGAACAGCAGCAGTAAATCAGACGCACTGGCTATTCAGCATTTGTGTTGATTTTCAGGTCCCAGTGCTAATTGAGTGCAACAGCTTTACTATCTAAAACACAGCAGGTCCTAAAATTATAGTATGATTTTCATTAGTATTGCAACAAAGCGCTCTCCGCCCCAAGCACAGCTGTGCTAGTGTAGATCTGCTATGGGAGCCTGGGCAGGGGTTATACATCCCTGCAAGCCAAGCAGCCAAAAGATATTCTGTCTCGTGTCTGGGGCATGTCCTGTTTAGGGGGCTGCAATGCAAGCAGGAATAGATCCTCTGAACACTGCCTCCAGCAAGGCAGCAACTTTGAGTAACACTGCAGCACTGAGGGAATTGAGTGGATCTGCTGCTGCTCCTTGGCCTTCTTCCATGTCACCCCAACAAAAAGCCTAATCTGGATAGGATTCATTTATACAATGCT